AAAAGTCTAACGTGACCTCAATCGACTGAAATCTTAGTTTTTATTGTCAAAAAACTAGGTCAAGAGAGTCGATTTTTCAAAACCTTGAACCTAACAAATGTTGGTCATTACTAGTTGGGTGTCAATTCAGGCTCCAACTTTCTCTCTGTTTATAGTCCATGTTTTATTTACAAAGATGTTCAGTTAGTTTTTAAGATCGTGCCATTCAGGAGAGTGTATTCTCAATCAATAATTCAATATTTCCTGATAGAAATGAAGTTTGTTGAGGCTATGCCAACAAAAAACAAACGTATGAATATTATACAAAATTAACATTCCCACATTCAGCATCCTTTCATTTTCTTTTGTCTACCTTGAGTGTTAAATAAAATCTATCTAATAAATTTAATGAATCAATCTCCGATTTTATCTTGTTTTCTTTTTGATTGTTATTGATTAAATTTTATAAATAGGAAGCGCGTCAGAAGTGTCAATAATAATCAGCATAACTGACATAATCTTGACTAGTCACAGGTAGAAATGCAGTATATCTAATGTTTATACAAAACTAAATTTTACTTTCTTGGACTTTCGATGATTTTAATATCATTCAGAATGAAAAATATGTGTTCGTCATGCTTCGATAGTTGAATAGTTAGTGTACTGGTCAATGTTAAATAGTCTTGGTCATGGGTTCGATTTCGGGTTGAAGCATGTTTTTTCTTATCTGTTTGTTTATCGAAAGTCAAAGGAAGTAAAATTTCGTAATGTATAAACGTGACAAAATCTTCAAAATCAAATCCAATAGACTTAATAATAGAGGCGAAGCTGTTGTTAAATTACAAAAGTTTCAATAGATCAATATGAATTTTGCTGCATACAAAAAGAATACTACACGTTTATATGTTTTTCCACTATTAAAATTTGTAACTTATGTTATGTTATCCAAATTAGTACTAGTATTCAGTACAAAATAGAGACCGAATCGAATAAGACAATCTTCATTCGGATTCGATTCGAGTCGACTTGCACTTATAGATAAGATACTTTTTGTTGGCCCAGTTACATACAACATATGTTCTGATTTATTTTCTATACAAGTTATATAGTTTTCTATTTTCCGATTCTGATCAGCTTTTCTATATTTGATCTGTTCATACATATTGAAACATCATTCAGTTTTTTAACGAGGAAAAGTACAATAGAAAGTAGATTTGATTGAATAAAACAACTCGTAAAAGTTCGACTGTAATGCATCTGAAAAGTATAATAATAATTGATGCTTAAAAAATTGGAATTTTATGAATAGAATCAATCTTTCAAAACTGAGCGAGCGAAAATTGATCGATACAAAAATTCGCAAAAAAAACTTTATACTAAATGTATGAAAGCTTGTTTCAATAAACACTTTATTTGAGACGAACGTATTAAACAGATCCAAGAAAAATAATCGGTAGAAATCACTCAGATATCATCACACATGTTTTCTTTTTTTGTTTTCATAAAAGTCTATCGTTAAAAATCAAAATTTTGTTTTCTATAAAGCTCATCGTAACAAAAGATTGTTGTGAGGTTTTTAAATAAATATCGATCAAAAGAGTACTAATCCTATCAAGCAAAATTTTGATTATGAGGGTGTGAATGTGGATGCTCTTTATGGTTGTTGTACTGAGTACTCTCTAGAACCAAGTGCATACTATATGCATACTCAACTCACGCTCACACTCACACCTACCCAAATCAGTCAATTTTCTTATTTCAGAATAATATTTCCGAGCTTTTCTTTTTTTAACTGCTTGACTTCTGACTTGACACTGTTCAATTTCTTTTTATGAAGATACATAAAAACTAATTTTTATAAAACGACTGTTGGCAATTTATACAATTTAAAGATCAGAATCAATCTAGAAATCGAAGTAATTAAAAAACTAACATTGTGAAATATTACAATGGAACTAGAAAAATGTTAAACTGTTATATCTTGATTGAAGGTAATTAGTTCAAAAGAGTACTTTTATAGTTTGTCCATAGAAATAAAAATTTGATGGTGTCACCTGTCACACGAGAAAATCAGTTGATAAAGGTGAATCAATAATGAAGTTATCCGACAAAACATATGTGGATATAGTCTTTGGGACACCCTTTACATTTGTTAATTCATAATTTAAACGACATGTTTATTGACTGTTATCTGGCGCTTTCATCCAAAGCATCACCATCGTTGAAAACATTTAAACACTTTTAACAGTTTGCATATTGAAATGTTTAAACACTGTTTTGTCCATTAACGTGTTTGCTTGAGAAATTGCATGAGACAAATATCTCAAAGCACTACTTTGCATATTGACATGAAAAACAAAGCATGACGAAAAATAACAAAATAAGGAAATAAGAAATAGATACATATGCAATGACGTCAGAGAATAAAAGCTACGGCAACGTGAAAAGAAATGATTAACAGATGGAAAAAATGAAAACAAACTCCATTTTTAAAAACTCGAGAAAAACAACGAAAAAACGTGTTTTCACTGTTCAAAGTACATCAATTTATCAAAATGAATTATTTTTATGAGCTCTCCAATATCTGCTTACAATGATGATGTAAGAAGTTCAAATATATTCAGAATTAAACTATTCGGTATACTGCGTAATCCTGGAGAAATTGTGCCTTTTTTCTTCTTTTCAAGATTCGTAAAGCCGATGTATAATTCTCTCTTGTTTCTTTAACATATAACCAGTATTCTTAATAAGTTTTGGAAGCTTTTCAGCCAAATCTGTTAAATGAACAAAAATAGCAGATGGTAGTTTATCATTGTCATACATTGTAAAAGGAAATCACAACACAGAAAGAACAATAATTAATTTGGTCTCAGAACAGATAAAAAGTTAGCTGAGTGAAGTCAATTATCAAATAGATATGTAATCCGTTTGATCTTTTCTGATAAATCACATAAAACAACTTTCTATATTATGTTAATCGTTTTACGATTATAGAAATAAGTCACATATTTTAACTATCTTGAAAATAAGTACTCATATTGTTATGAAACTTTTCCATTCACTCGAAGAAACTAAGTTAACGGTTTTGTTTCAATAATTATATCATTTTATCATGATATTACAACCTTCCAAAACAGTTTTCATGTCTATTATACATCCTTTGACTATTCAATTAGATAATTATTGACAATCAGCATCATAGAAAATGCAATCTTCAGTCGTAAAAGATTGAACGTTTAATTGGATTCAAGAAAGCAAATCAGATAAAATATATTTAACCTCGTTGAAAAAATATAAATTAACGAGTTAGTGATTAACGCAGTAAAATCAGTTCAAATACTTTTGTGTTTTGACGTACTCAGATTTGTAAAGGCATTAAAACTAGTAAAAACAGCGTTAAAATGAAATCTTAATGCATTTCAACTTGTTTAGTTTTTCGAAGTCTTATTTAATTGGATATACATTCTTTCAAAAGTCACCAACTATAGATACTATCATATATGTCACTGAAAAATCATCAAATGAATATGGCTCCATGTGGTCAGTGTAGTATGGAATAAACATTGAAAACTGTATCTCGAGCAAATATCACAAACAACATCTAGAAATAACTAAAATTCCTGAATTCATTTCTAAGAAGACTTTATTTTGGCTTGTGATCCTAATCATCACGTCTTTATTTAGGTTTGATCTAAAATGTATTTGTCATGATAAACATTTAAAAGCTATCCAAAAATAAATAAATTTATGTTCTTTTCTATTTTAGATATATTCTTTACTAACTAAAGCAATAAAAATAAATTTAACCAAATACGAAATTGACATATATTCATATTGTAGTAGCTTGGCACAAGCCATTCTCAACTATTGGATAGTCAGGATTGAGGTCTACCACTTATTCAATGACATCCATCAGCAAGGTTGAAATCGGTTCTATAGTAGCTCTCATACTTACATCATCACACTTACGAGACATCTGTACTCGAAAAGATAAAGTAATAGATTTTTTTGGAATAGTCTTTATCCTATGGCGTCTATTGACGCTTATAAAAGCATGATAACAGGAAGAAAAAGAAAAAAAAATGGAAAAACAATATACTATTAGTACGAAAAACAAAAAGGAAAGATAAATACGTGAAAAGCGAACCATATGCTTACTTGTTTCTTCTACAAAACATGAATGACAAAGAATCTATAAAATATAAGCCATAAATGGGATTAAGGTTTAGAGAGAAGATTATGTTTTTAAAAGGCAAACAAGAACTCGAAAGCTAATCTAATCTATCTTCTCATTATAAATGATTTTTGATGAATTGGAATCAGCAGATTAGAATTGATTGGTGTCTATCTATAATTTTTCTCACTCTGAATAATCTAGAGGAATGTCATAGATTAAAATTTTGTGCAGCTAATATCTTGGTTGTTTCTTTTTTATTCATAAAGACATCTTAATAGGAAAGATCGCTATAAAATCATTACTCGTCTAGGTTGGAATGGGATATTCTATTACTTTGTTCATATGCAGCTGTAGTGAATTTTCAATCTTCTCTATAGAATGGTTAACAGTCTCTAAGAAGAACAATTTATTCGTTCACACAAGTTTTAAACAACAAATGATCTCACTGTTTCTAGTTATTTCTCATTCATGTCGATCTGTGTTATCGGTTAATTTATTTGCTAGTCAAATAGTTTTACCATTCTCTTTTTCCTGTTTATAGTGTGCTGCTATTTACTAGCATACTCATATAGATTTTAACAAACTTCTGCTCGCTTTGTTATATTAACGCACTCTAGCATTCTTAGTAGTTCTTTTTGTATTGGTAAAACTATACAGGTAAGTGTGGATGTGAATGCTTTTTTCATTCACATGTTTGTTCTTGCTTCAATTGAAGTTTCTTATAGAACATAATATTCACAACAGCCTGATGTTCAATAAGCAAGTCAATGGAATTAATGGACCACGCAAATGGTGGCATCATCATTGGTTTATGATCATTTGCATCTGCTTTATCGTTGTAACAATGCTGGCAGTTATACCCGCTGTGGTATTAAAATTCGTGGTATTTGTACCGAAGAAGCAGAATATCACCACGACAACATCAACATCACCGACGGTAACATCAACATTATCAACAGCAACGATAACATCACCGGCAGTAACATCAACATTATCAACAGCAACGATAACATCACCAACGGCAACCACAGCAACATCACCCACGCCAATAACATTATTTAGAACAGTTACAACCGCAACTCAACAATCAGGTAAGTTGCACATAAATGCTTTTAATCTACCTAAATGTTACTTCTAAATCGAGTATATGTAGTTGCTATGCATCTTGATAACGGCTGCATTAAAATCATCTTAGATAAGCTTTGAAGAATTCTGGTTGATTTTCAGCGGTATTTTTAATGACCTGTCCGACCTAGACTGGTTTTAGAGTAATTCAAATCACTCTTCTTTCTTCTACTATTATAGTCACATTTAATCGAATTGGTCGTTAAAAAATGATAATTTTAATTTGTTTTTTTGAAGCCATTCATGATCGTTGACAAAGGTACTTATGAAGAAAAGACATCTGATTGAAGAATAGCGTCCCAATTAGTAATAATAAGTTCGCGAAATCAGGTGACTTGAAATGAGGATGCTTGTGCACATGATGTGTTGACGTACGTTATCCACATGCCATTGTGGAAAATAGTAGGTGTTACAAACAATTTATCAAGGTTAACAATTGTATCGATACATTAGCGATAAGAGGAATATTCTATTATATTTTTTCAGGATCTAAACATAAACATCACTGACGAAGCTATTTGATGTGAGAAAGTTGTGCATCAATGTTTAATCTTTTGAAGCAAATGAATTTCAAACCAGACAACAACGGAAACTTCACTCTTAGCCATGGCGAATCTTGCAGCAAGTCCGTTCTGTTTCTTCAGCCATTCCATGACAGCAATGTATTCTTTTTTATGCAAAGTATCTGTTCGTTCAGTATTTTATTCTTAAGTTTGGCTCCCATTCATTGTTACAAATACATTGACTAACTTATTTCACACAGACTGCGAAACTCATATAAGTTGTTGATGACTTTGTTTCTTGCAGATATGACTAATTATGCGAACAAAATTCTAAGTAACTTCCATAATACTATGAAAAATACTTCTATTTTCTCAAAAACTGAAAGTGATATTGAAGAAAGTAACTATCAATATTTCTTGAAGAGTTAGCGTGTAGCTTTAGAATGTGATTTTGCGCTCAGAATTCTTCAATTTTATTATACTGTAGAGTACCGCTAGATTTTGTTGAATAGCAATAGAAGGTTTGAGAAAACAACTTGATTCTAAACTATATAGTAATGGCAGAAATGTTTTCATTATTTCTGTCCTCAACAACAGTTGCCTTTTTTGCAATTTTCATTGTCAAGGACATGTGAAGCATGCAAACTAGTATCTCATGTATGCTTTTTCAGGGCTCTATTATCGAATAAATTGATAGAGGTAGCCGTTACAGTAGCATGTGACAATTCACTAGTATACATATTTGACAAAAAATGATACTATCACCAGTCTTAGACAGTATTCACGCCAGATGCTGACTATAGTATACATATGCGAATTCTCAAAATAGAAATTAGCTGTTTTCGTGAAAAATAGTTGCATTCAAGCTGGTATGTGAGTGCTCCTCCTTTTCCTCCTTTTTTTGAAAAAGACTCCTCCCCCTCCTCCATTTGTTGATCCATTCCTCCTTTTCCTCCTTTTTTGATATTTTCGTTACGAAAGCCACTAATGATAGT